TCATGTGCATGACAGGTGTTATGTCATGTTTATGACGGTGTCATGTCAGTCTTATTCACCCCCCTTCAAATAAAGTGTTACGAAAACTTGCAAAGCCTATTGACTTGATAAGTTCAATATCTTTAAAAAGCAAGACAATAAGTCTAACTGCATTTTACTGAAGTACTTTCAGATTTGTAGGTCTACCATCATTAGATAAGGATGGCAAGTGAAGCTGCTGCAGTTGTCCTGAATTTTAAGCATTAGTGGTTATTCCTTCATAAAATGGCGGAAATAAAGGAAAGGGATTTTCAAAGCCAATGATAAGAAAAAAAACACATCAAAAAAGTTATTTCTGGTATTTTCAGTATCAAACTCAATGCAAGTATACCACAATATGGAATAAAGTAGTAAAAAGAAAAATGAGCGGCAACTATTTCAACATGTAAACTCAACATGTCTCAAGAAACTGACAAGTACATCTTAACTCTGTTTTTCACAACTGTATTTATCTTGCATTAGATTATGGTAAGTTATAGTTTTTTAGGTTCTGGCTGATTGGAATTTGAACTTAATTTTTCATCTTTTGGTCTAATCAATTTTCTGTTAGTTATATATTATCTCAAACAGAGGCGCAAAAAGTGAGTATGCGGCGCATGCAACGCATAGGGGAGCAGCACCAGAGGGGGCGCCAAAACCCCATCTGGAGGGGATGGCGCGCCGATTATNTTTTNCCATACACTTCAGCGCGCCTTACGCTCCTTCACCTCACGCACATAACGAGGTAAATCTAGCGCAAGTTGCACACTTAACGTATCCTCGCTTTGGGGGAAGGTGGGGGGAGGGTGGCGCCGATTTATGTTTTCGCATCCACATGAATAATGTGCAGTTGTGGCACTGATCTCACGACAACTTTCCATTAATGTGACCTGGAACAGCAAACAGTTTCTTTCCTGAAATCAAACATTAAATAAAGTCCCTTTCACTTTCCCACCACCATCATTCTGAACATTCTGAACATTCCATGGTTCCTTCTTTCTATCAGCTTTGTGATCGGAATGAACTTTGTGTAGCAAAAAGCAAGAGCTGACAAGTCAAGTATCTGTCGATCAGACGGGAAATGGGGGAAAACTAGGTTTGGCTTATGGAGTGACGCATTTATTTTCTGTAGAAAGACTGAAACGCTAGAGACTCCCTGCTGTTCAGAGCTGAAATGGAACAACCAAGATGTCAAACGGACTCTAGGAAGTTCTCCTGTTCCATCTGTTTGGATCTACTGAAGGATCCGGTGACTATTCCCTGTGGACACAGTTACTGTATGAACTGTATTAAATGCCACTGGGATGAAGAAGAGCAGAGGAGAATCCCCAGCTGCCCTCAGTGCAGGAAAGAGTTCATACCGAAGCCTGGTCTGGAGAAAAGCATCATGTTAGCTGAGTTGGTGGAGGAGCTGAAGAAGACTGGACTCCAAGCTGCTCCTGCTGATCACTGCTATGCTGGACCTGAAGATGTGGCCTGTGATGTCTGCACTGGGAGGAAGAGAAAAGCTGTCAAGTCCTGTTTATCCTGTTCAGCTTCTTATTGTCAGGATCACCTCCAACCTCATTATGATGTCCCTGAATTGAAGAAACACAAACTGGTGGATCCCTCCAAGAACCTCAAGGAGAACATCTGCTCTCGTCATGATGAGGTGATGAAGATCTTCTGTCGTACTGATCAGCAGTGTATCTGTTATCTCTGCACTATGGATGAACATAAAGGCCATGAAACAGTCCCAGCTGCAGCAGAAAGAGATGAGAAGCAGAAGAAGCTCCAGAAGTGTCAACAACAAATCCATCAGAGAATCCAGGACCGAGAGAAAGATGTGAAGCTGCTTCAACAGGAGGTGGAGGTCATCAATCGCTCTGCTGATAAAACAGTGGAGGACAGTGAGAAGATCTTCACTGAGCTGATCCGTCTCCTCCAGAAAAGAAGCTCTGATGTGAAGCAGCAGATCAGATCCCAGCAGGAAACTGAAGTGAGTCGAGTCAAAGATGTTCAGGAGAAGCTGGAGCAGGAGATCACTGAGCTGAAGAGGAAAGACGCTGAGCTGGAGCAGCTCTCAATCACAGAGGATCACAACCAGTTTCTCCTCAACTACCCCTCACTGCCAGCACTCAGGGAGTCGACACACTCATCCAGGGTCAAGATCCGTCCTCTGAGACACTTTGAGGACGTGACAGCAGCTGTGTCAGAGCTCAGAGACAAACTACAGGACGTCCTGAGAGACTCATGGACAAACATCTCAGTGAAGGTCACTGAGGTGGATGTTCTTCTGTCAGAACCAGAACCAGAACCAAACAGCAGAGCTGAATTCTTAAAATACTCTCGAGAAATCACTCTGGATCCAAATACAGCAAACAGGAAGCTGTTATTATCTGAGGGGAGCAGAAAAGTATCAGGACCTAAAGAGGAAGATGAAGAGTCGGAAGATGAAGAGTCGGAAGATGAAGAGTCGGAAGATGAAGAGACGGAAGATGAAGAGTCGGAAGATGAAGAGTCGGAAGATGAACTTTATCCTGGTCATCCAGACAGATTCACTCATCATCCTCAGGTCCTGAGCAGAGAGAGTCTGATTGGACGTTGTTACTGGGAGGTGGAGAGGGGAGGAGGAGCAGTTCTTGTAGCAGTTTCATACAAGAGCAACAGAAAAAGATGGTCAGAAGAATGTCAATTTGGATCCAATGACAAATCTTGGTCATTATGCTGTGGGAGGAAAAGTTACACTTTTCATC